GAAGAGATAATGAAGAGAGGAGTTATAAGATATATATAATGAGATAGTAGTATATATATGATGGCTGCACTACAATATACGCCCCTTTATATAGATAATATAGTTACCCGTATATACCTATCATCACCCTATAATATATAATAATATATATATATATATATGTATATATAGTATGATATCTACAATTATACGGATAATAATATATATATATATATATATATTATATATATTATATTATATTATATATATTTTATATTATATTATATATTTATATATATATAAAACTGACATATATAATATTATATATAATATTATATATATATATATATATATATAATATATACTATATTATATATATATCAGGCGCTTTTCTTTCTCTTCTTTTTTTTTTTATTTATCCCTACACCCCTCCCATCTCCCGTCACCCCCCCCCCCGCCCTCTCTCAGTATTTATCACTATCCTTCCCCCCCCCCTCTGTCTCTCTTTGTTTCTTTCATATTCCCTTCCCTTTCTCTATCAATGTTTACCCCTTCATTCCCTCCCTCTCTTATCTCTTTCCTCCCTCCATAAATTTCTTTCTTTTGCCTTCTCTTTCTCTACCTGCGCCTCTCTTTACTTCTCTCTCCATTCTTATCCTTTTTCTGTGTTTGTATCTATATATATGTATATATGTATGTATATATATATATATATATATATATATATATATATATATATATATATATATATATATTTATATATATATTTATATTGATGTATTATATGTATCCATGTTTGAAATCAATGCCATATTTTCCGGGGAATGTGATCTTCCCTGAATTCTCGTCCCTTATCTAAAATATTCCATTCAGTTCACCGTTCATTCTCAAGACCATGGATGACGTGTCTTCTTACGAAAGAGAAGTCCCATCGAGCACTGTTTAATATGTGAGAAAAACTCCTTCCTTGTGGCTAATATGACGCGAATTTCTTGTCGAGACCTGGGATGGTGCTTGGCATAGGTGGGGTACTGGTGGCATGGATGGAGTTCCATTGCCCATCTGTTGCTTGGGTCTCACACGCATCCAAAATCAGTCAGATATTTAGTTTAATGATTTGAACGACTCGCAGTTAGCTTGTTTGTACCGTTATGGCCGTCTATTTTTGTTGTTTGTGATTTGGAAATTTTTATGAGGCTGCAACTGAATAATAGGACTGACCCCTTTTCTCATATTTCCTTGCAGACCGGCACCCGCTCCGTCACTGTGCACCTCCGAAATGAATCCGTCCCAGCACATGACCTTCGCCTTGTACGAGATGACCACTCAGACGAGCAAGAAGGTTCTCCTCTTCATACTGGAGTGGGGCACTCCCAGGAGGGATGCAAGCAAGACCTTCTATGAGTACCTCTTGCAAGTGAAGAGGATGTCTTTGACAACAATACGCAAGAAATTTAATCAGAGTCAAAGACAAAAGATAGAGAAGAGTGGTGACATTGGCACATTTGATGTCTCACTCATATTTTTATGCATTGTCCATGGGTGTGATGGACTGGCCCCCCCAGGAGATGCCAAATGGACCACTAGAGCAGAGACACTGGAACGATATGTGACCTCCATTAAAACTTATAGAAATAATTTTCTACATGGAGAATATGATATTACTCACACAGAATTTCTTAAGGTGACAGAGGAGCTGAGAGATCTGCTCAACAAAACCCTCGAGAGAGCAGCTGAAATCTACAACATAGGAGATGAAATCCTCCAGGGGATCTTGCAAGATATAAACACAGAGATCAACAGTCTTAGAAACAATCCCTCACAGGCAACAAATTCTCATGCATTAGTCCTCGACAGACAGCGCCAGATGGTGAAAGTCGAAGGAAAACTAGAGCTGAAGAAGATTTACAGAGAGGAGTCCAGTTTTGGACCAGCTTCGAATTTGCTTGGGAAATCGAAGGTGCGTGTGGACAAGGTCTTCACCACGATGGAAATCAAGCAGGAAGGCTCACAAACACAGTTCATTCAGTATAGTGAACTTCTCGCAAAGGCGGAGGAGAGACGAGTAGACAATGGGAAAGACTGTTCCGTGTTGCTCATTGAAGGGCCTGCGGGTGTTGGCAAGACAACCCTCACAAGGAAGATGATAAGTGACTGGGCTTCAGGCACTAGCTCCATGGAGACTCTCACTGATTATGATTTTGTGTTGTTAAGTAGGTGCCGAGACGAAATCCATTCCCTTGGCAACCTACTAGGCACATTGATGCCAAAAATTAAAATTAAAGTCCAAAGTGATAATGATATGATGAATTACTTATCAGGAAACAGACTCATGTTCATTGTGGATGGGCTCGACGAGATGAACTCAGCATCAGATAGAGTGCTGAGAGAAATCATGGGGATGAGCAGAGACGATGACATCACTGTTCTCTGCACAACACGACCCAACAAAGTACCTGACTTCAAGAGATATGTGCCGGACAAATTTGATATTATGCATGTCAAAGTTTTGGGCATAGAAGAGAACAAACGTGAAGAGTTTGTAAGAAATTACAGCTTGGCATTACAAGACCCAGGCACCGAGAACAAAGACATCTCTGGTCTCCTCCGGTATCTGGCAAGGAAAGACAGCCGGATGCAGGCCCACTGGCGGTTCCCCTTCAACTTGGTCCTCATGACAATATTATGGTTCTTTGACCCGCAAGCTGTGAACAGTCTGACCACGGCAACGGAACTCTTCACAAAGACACATGACTTGTACATCCAACGGTTGATTCAGAGGCTAAAGAAACACCAAGAAACAAAAACCTTCGACATGGATGAACTGAGAGGAAAAGTGGATAAGTTTCTACTAAAATTCAGCAAAGAAGCATACGTGAACCACCTTCATGAAGCTGTGGTTCTGTCCCAGTCTTCAGTACAGAGGCTGAAGGAGGCATGTCGCCTTCTAAATCTTCCACCAAAAGAAGTTCTTGGATCGTTCTGTATTCCGGCAACTTCCTTGACAAACTTCGAGGAAAGGTACAGCTATCCTCACAAGGGTTTCCAAGACCTTTACTCTGCTATGCATCTGGTGGGCATTCTGAAAACGCATGAACTGGGACTAAACATCCCCAGTATAATGTCTGGTTTTGAGACTGTTCTCCTTCGTGAAGATGTTCCTGGAGATGTTGTTAGATCCTGCCTCAATGACTGCTCTAAGAGATTATTAGAATACCAACGTGACACTATCAAGAAATCAGGTAGTATTCAGAGCGTTCTAGAAGGAGCCACCAAGGAAGCTGCCTTGTACATCGGCCAAGAGACAAAGTTTTACTTGGTGAAGTACCAGAATATTCTCATTCATCTCACGGGTTTGCTTCACCTCGGAGGAAAGACACTGGCAGAGGAAAGAGCCACTGAGCTTGTGGAATTACTCAAGGCCACTGGTATTCGGGACACATCTCAGTGGCTGGACTTGCTCTCTGAGGTCAAGTGCGACAACACAATAACTGCATTAATTTCCAAAAAGATTGATCTCACTGGATGCATATTTATAAAAGAGAAACCACTTAGCTGCATTCCTGGTGCCAGCCACGTCCGTCACCCTTGGTCCTGGACATCAGCGGCGACCCCGAGGACATCCCATCCCTGAGTGAACTCCTAAGGGCAATGAAAGGCAAGACGTGGGAGGTGAGGCTATGGCTTCGCCACGACTTCCGACACCCGAGAGCCGGCGGCAGCGTCCTCGAGGAAAAGCGCTTCAGCAAGTTTTCCGAAGGTGATGTGCAGCTTTTGACTTTTTGATACCCGAAATAGGAACTTTATTAATTTTAGAGATTGATGTTATGTTATTATTAATATTGCGTTGGGTATATTGATATTCATTTAAATTAATCTATTTATGCATCCTTTGTTACTATCCATTTTGTTCAACACTTACCATCCATATCTCTGCTACTCTCACCTTCTTGCGTGAACCCTACTCATTTCGTGCTTTATGTATATTCATGTAATGATAAATTATCGATAATTGCTCACTTCTAATTATGTATCATTTGAATTACTATATTATTTTACTATATATTAGATCATTATATTCATTTTCTTATCTCGGATAATTAACTAATTTTATCCTTTAAATACTCCTACTTTCCTTTATTATTTACTTCTAACCTACTTTGTTATTCTTCCACATCTATCCTCATTTAACGCCTTTATCATGCTTATCACTTTTTCTTCTTCTACATGCCTGCCATAACTACACAGAGTGCAGAAATGAGAGCTAGACGATGGCCTATCCTACGTCATGATCTACCCCTAACCCCTTCTCTCCATTCTTACACCTCTTACCTCACCTCCCATACTTACTTATACTATGTTTCTTCATATATTATCTTATTCTCCTAATATACTCATTTACTAATCCTTACTATCACTTCCATAATAGGACCCTACTATATATATTATATGATATAAACCTATATATACTAACTATTATATGTACTTTATCTACAGAATTATCCCCCTCCTACCTATACTTTATCATACTCCCTATTTCCTCATATCTTCTCACTTATCTACTACTCATTTTCATATTCTTCATATACTATTATACATTATCTCCTTACTCTTTCTTTCTATCCCCTCGCACACCTTCTCCCCTTCTACTATATTATTTACACTTATGTCTACCCTCATTACTATCTATCCTATCTACTACCTATATATCCCCTACCTTCACCACTCCCCCCTTATATCCTCCTCTTCCCCCTTTTCTCTATCTATGATCCCCCTTACCACTACTCTATTACGACCTAATAAATAAAGAAAACAATAAATATAATTCTACCTCTTACTCATACCTATTCTTCCCTATATACACCTCTTTTATCCCCTACTCTCCCCCTTACTATATCCTCCCATTTACATCCCTCTGCCTCTCCCTACGAGACTATAATTAAAATATCTATATCTATATCTTACTCATAGTATTATATATTGATATCTTTAACGGATATATTATGTTATTAAAGTATCACGTAGTTTTAGGTTTATAGTTAAATATATGATTTAGTGTTTAATGGAAATATGTCTAAATAGTAATAAACGTGGTAATATGGTGAAAATATAATAGATAAATATCAAATGTTATATATACAATAAATAAAGCAATAATATAGTCAGATCAATGAGATACAAAATAAAAGATAAATTGAATTATAGGTAAGTCTTATATAAGTCCATACTACAACAATTTCGTGTATATAGTATATATTCATAAAAAGATATAAAATAAATGACAATAAATATACTCTAACGAGATGAATATAAATAAAACGTAATATATATAACCTAGTCTAAATGTGTAGAAATATATATAATATTTAATCTTAAGAAATTACGTGAAAAAATAAATTAAAATCATTTATAATGCTATAATATATATGTATATATATGATAATTATTGCCAATTTATTATATATGTATTATATATAAATCCAACACGAAGTATAATATAATCTATAATTATATAAAATAATCGACTACTTAATACTACAATTTAAAAACAATATTTTTTATCTAATATAATTCATTTCTCAAAAAATACGTTATCATATTATATTATAATTATATGTTTACTTTCTTTACAGCCATAGTCATAATAGTTACACCACTATTATTATTATACTTATTTCAGTGAAATATATATATATATATTTACTAAGGTAAAATAGTAAGCAAAAAAAATTATATATAAGTATATATTATAAAAAACTAAGAAAACATTATATACACATATAATATACAAATTAAATATACTTATATTGTATACAACGATATACATATATATAATTGAATAAATTATTAGCAAGAACGATATATATTATATGAATATATATATGTAGAAATTAAAAAGATATCTATTATATTAATATTTGATAAAGTGCACAGGATCACATAATCTTTAATCCAATGGTTAGCGGCTTAGGGATTACTGAACGAAAACATAGTGTTTTCATCATGTATATATAGTTTGGCAGTGTCACCTTACTATAGGATATAATATGCCTATATGGACACCTGGTATTAGTAATGAGCATGAAGATGAATTTAGAATTTAAAGTAAAAGGTACTTAGAGTAGACAAATAGAGGTATAGATATAAGAGACGGTATCGAAATACGTAGATCAGAGGAATATCAGAAGGTGTTATATATATATGATTCGGAGGGAGAGATCAGTGATAGTATATATCAGTAGTATATGATATTATATTATAGTATATATATATATATATATATATATATATATATAATATATATATATATATATATATATGTATGTATATAATATATATGTATAATAATAATATATATATATATATATATATATATATATATATATATATATATATATATATATATATATATATATATATATATATATATATATATATATATATATATATATATATATATATATATATATATATATATATAATATATGTATGTATATGTATGTATACACACACACACACACACACACACACACACACACACACACACACACACACACACACACACACATATATATATATATATATATATATATATATATATATATATATATATATACACATACATATATGATATGCATACACATTTGAACATATATACAAGTACATATAGGCATATATATACACATATATGTATATGTACCCATATATATGTATATATATATATATATGCATATATGTGTATGTGTACATATGTATATATATAGTTCATTCTTTAGAAATCTTCAGTAGAGATCATTAACCTGTGCACCGTCAGACATGGAACGTCCTTTTTCATCGCATGGTGTTCCAGGGGAATGCACCGATACACCGCCGTGCCGTGCTCAGTGTGACGGCACAAAGCGCTTTCTATGTCCTCCATATGTTACTGTCAACGTGTTACTGCCAATCGTGAAAGTCGATATTCATTCATTTATTATACTTGCTCAGAAATACATGTCCCAGACAGCCACGAAATCTTTTTAAAAAAAAATCCGTGTCGGTTCGTTTCTCAATTTTGCCCAGAAATGGCTCAAAAATGCACTAGAGGACATCTAAATCTTTAAAAGTTCAGATCCCCCTGCGCCCTTCGGGTAAGTCATTCACAGGGTCGATACCCCCCACCCCACCCAGAATTTCTGGATCCGCTAGCGAGGTCAGGCAAGGAAGTTATTCACTCATTAATATTCTGTCTCCCTCTGTCACAGATACTTGTCTGCTTTCTATAAATCTCAGGTATTACATGCAGGAGAGAAAGAAGTAATGTTCGTTTCTCTTCAAGCCTCCCTCTTCCTCTCTCTCTCTCTAGAACAAAACTACCAACACTAATACTGCTAGGAATGATTATTTTCCATGCTAGCCATGTAAGATGATAATCGTAAAAGTAGACATCACTCTGGGGTGGCTCACATCACACCATAGGTAGAATAACATTCAGTTGAGTTTCCATGAAATTTCAGTTTTATTCAACCTGCAAACAATATATTGCAAATAACAAGTGACATCAACACAGGAATTTTAAGTCAGTGAGAACACAAAAAATGATTATTTAATTGAGGAGCCAAAACTTTGGTAACTTGTTCAGAATGATAATGATTAAACTTCTCACACACAGGTAATCATTACACAAAATCCTCTGAGAAAATTCGTAGTATTAATCCACAATCACACACTTTCAAATACAAGACCAGTTTACTTGCATGATGGCACCTTGCCCCTGAATGATGATATCCAAGCAATACCTCAAGAAATAATAGAAAGAAACTCAATGTGCAACGTCTTCCAGAAGTAAACAATGTATTTTCATTAAAACTTAAAATCGATAATTCTTCCTCTACAAAATTAGATACTTCACGTGTCTCTTTCAAAATAATACACATTTCTATATTTCTAATGTACACAATAATAACACAGATTCCAATATTATTTACAATAATGCACATATATGTTTCACTATTATTTCCAAAACAATACAATAATGATAGTAAGGATAATGATGATAATAATAAAGAGATAGTGGTGGATGTTGGAGAGTGATAAACTTTTGTTTTTTGTTTCTCTGCATTCGATTTTTCTCGCTCTTATCTCTTGGGGATGCAATCCCAGACTTGTCTACACTAACTGCAGCTCCAGCACTGCGCTTTCACATGGGATCATCGGTGTTTCCTCTTGTGAGTAACAATAGGTGATTTTGTCGATAGGTAATTTTGAAGCACATTTGCAATTTGCTTGCTCTCGTGCCTGCAAGGGCGCCATGTTGCATATGAAATTGTAGCACAGACGCTCTTCTTTCGAGTAATATAGGTTGCAATGGATGGCTGCTACAGTATGGGAGCAAAGGGTTCAGTAGTTTAGGTGTAAGAAATTTTGATATTCGAGAGGGTAAATGGATTCCAAAATTTCGTGCGGTGAGGACTTTCCGCCCTCAAGAATTGAAACATGATAAGGACTTCGAAACG